CTTCTGCCAATCTCTGCATGCTCATCTTCTACCACCTACCTCGCCTCCCGTCCTTAGGTACGATGCCAATTCCCGGGCACATGGTACCCTTCATGCCGCCAACCTTTTGTCCATGTTGTTCCTGTGCTATAGTAAAACCATCCTTCTCAATCTGAGAAGCTCTTGCTTCTCCTTCAGAGTCAGCTCAAACAGCGCCTCCCTTGAGAAACTTTCCTTGACTTCCCTGGGCTAATGTTAGCTTCGATTTCCTACATACTGTACTATATACGTGTACTTTGTGGCAATTGCTGGACTGCATCTGTCTATTTTTTTTTTTTAAAGATTTTATTTATTTATTTGAGAGAGAGAGCACATGAGAGGGGGGAGGGTCAGAGGGAGAAGCAGACTCCCCACTGAGCAGGGAGCCCGATGCAGGACTCGATCCAGGGACTCCAGGATCATGACCTGAGCTGAAGGCAGTCGCTTAACCAACTGAGCCACCCAGGCGCCCTGCATCTGTCTATTTTAACATATGTTTCCCTGTGACACTGCAATATCCATATGAGTATAGACTACGTCTATGTGTAAGCCTGGCCTTAGTTTAATGTTTGGAATGTCGGAGGCACTCGATCAATATCCTCACCAGTGTCCTTACTGAACTAACAAAGGTTCTTTACATGACTTTCCCTATATGTTGCCTCCAAAGTCAAGGACATCCTATAATGAATTTAATGAAAGCACTCCAATGCGAACTAATAATAGGCTTTAGTATCTTGTTCTTTGGAATTTGATCTTGACATGGGGCTCAAGCTGATGAGCTATCAGCCTTTCTCATTCCTCCACTATACTCTACATAACTTTACTGCGACATCTATAACACTAATTTGTGTATCTGTCTTTTCCTGTAAACTCTTTAAAGCCAGGTAGAGTCATACTCATTTTCTTTTTTTAATCTCTATTTTATGATACACAGTCTGGTCTATAACTTGCTCTCAATAAAAGCTTGTTGGTGGGGCGCCTGGGTGGCTCAGATGGTTAGGCGTCTGCCTTCAGCTCAGGTCATGATCCCAGGGTCCTGGGATCGAGTCCCGCATCGGGCTCTCTGCTCCTTGGGAGCCTGCTTCTCCCTCTGCCTCTCTCTCTCTGTCTCTCATGAATAAATAAATAAAATCTTTAAAAAAAAAAAAAAAAAAAGCTTGTTGGTGATAAAATATGTCTATTTCAGTCTAAAACCTAGCATCTGAATAGAACATTCCAGTAAAGTCAACAACAGAACAAGGGTGACCACTAATACCACGATTACTTAACACTGTTCTAGAGGCATTAGCCAAGGCAATTAATTTGAGAAAGAAACTAGTAAAAGGACCGCTGGAAAGTAGGAGGTAAAATTATCATCATTTGCAGCTAATATGATTGTACACCTGGAAAATGCAAGAGATTTGACTGCAAAATGACCACAAACAAGAAGTGGGGGAAAGAGGTTATAGAATGAGTATTAGAAATCAGTAACTTTCATATATACAAAAAAACCCCCACAGTAGGTAAGAGATATAATGGAATAAAAGCCTCCCATTTACAATAGCACCAAAATTATAAAATACCTGGGAATAAATTTAACAAGAAGCATATAAGACTCATATGAAGAAAACTAAGTGACATAAGAGGAGACTATGGAAAGCCAAGACTTTTGAATTAGAAAATTCAACATATTGGGTGTCAGTTCTTCCTAAAATATGTTATAATAACATGACCATAATAAAAACACCAGCAGGTTATTTTAAGATCAATACAAGTTGCTGCTAAAGTTTTATGGAAAAATAAATAAACAAGAATGGCTAGTTGAATTATGAAAAAGAAGAACAAAGAGAAGGAATTAGCACCAACATCTATTGAATTATACTTCCTCAGTAATTAAAACCGTGATGCTGGTGATAAAGAAAAAGGCCATGGAGTATATTTGAAAATCCAGACATATGCTCCAGTATTGATGGGAATTTAATATATGATGAACCTGTGGTGAAAAAAATGAGCAGTTTAACAAGGGGCACTGAGGCAATTTTAGCTTTCCAGAAAAAAAAAATTAAGCTGGATTTACACTTCCTATTCTCATACCAGGATAAATTCCATATGGATCAAAGGTTGAAGTGTGAATATAAAGCCATAGAAGTTCTAAGAGAAAATATGGGAGACTCTATAAACTCAGAGTGGGAAAGGCCTGGGGCTCAAAATGCAGAAGCCATAAAATAAAAGGCTGATACGTTTGATTACAGAAAGATGAAACATAATCCTGCATGGCCAAAACATACCACAAGCAAAGGCAAAAGACATATGACAACATGGCAAAAAATCTATCAGAGAAAAGGGTCACTCCACCGAGCTTCCAAGAAATTGGCAAGTCACATAACAATAACCCTAAGACAATATGAGGCAAGGGACAGTTCCCAGGAAAAGAAACACAAATGTCCCTTATCATATGAAAGTATGTTTAACCTTGGTCATAAAAGTATAAACGCACATTAAAACCACAATTGATGTATCATTTTTCCCCTCTCAAGGTAGGAAAAATCCAAAAATGTGATAATATTGATAAGAACGTGGGAAAACAGGGGCGCCTGGGTGGCTCAGTTGGTTGAGCATCTGACTCGTGATTTCCACTCAGGTCACAATCTCATGGGTTGTGAGATCGAGCCCCGCATGGGACTTCGCACTCAGTGGGGAATCTGCTTAGGATTCTCCCTCCCCTTCTGCCCCTCCCCCCACCCATGTGCGCTCTCTCTCTCTTTCTCTAAAATAAATAAATAAATAAAATCTTAAAAAGAATGTGGGAAAACAGGTACCCTCAATCATTCCTGGTAGACATATAAATTAGTATGACCCCACAGAGGTCAAATTGGCGACAGCTCTCAAAATTACAAATGCATATATTTTCTGACCAAGCGATTTCACTTCTGGGAGTTTATCCTACAGCTTCACTTGTACATGATCAGAATGATACACGTACATGGTTATTCACTAAAGAACTGTTTGTGATAGTGAAGGATCAGAAAAATGTCCATGAAGAGGGGATAGTTATAGGGAAAGATAGTTATGATACATTGTTAAGTTTTTATAAAAGCAAGGAATAGAGTGCATATATAGATATATCCATAGGGAAAAAAAATAAGCAGGAACTCTGAACCAGATTAACAAGAAACAGAACAGTGGCTTCGAGCTGGAAGTGAGATGGGCTCCGGGAGACAGGAAACAAGAATGGGATGGGGACTTCGCATGGTATACTTTTAAATATTTTGAGTTCCAAATAATAAAAATATATTCAAAAATAAAAATTTTTAAAGTTTGTCAAACAAGTGGGTACAATATTAATGAGTCTCCCAGTTAGCCAGATCTAGGTTGTAATTAAAATATTTTGGAAGCTGCCAGAATAATGATATTCTGTGTCTTTACTTAAGTCAAGATTCATGTGCTAAATGAACAAGCAACAAGTTAACATTCCATTATGCAAAGTCAAGAGACTGTATTTCTTGGGGGAGAGAAAGAGAGAAAAGGAACCCAGCCATTTCCAGGCAAATGAACAGCGACTCTATTTGCAACTGTCGGTCTGGTTAATGGCCTGAACGCCACGAGGATGGCAGGAATGGGAAGGAAGGAAAAGATGCAAAACACCTGAATGGGAAATAAATCCATGGGTCTTGATGGCTGATTGAAAAACCCTACTACATATGTTCAGAAAGCCTCACTGCAGTCACTCAGATATTTTGTAACTTATTTAATTTGCCAGATTGTACTACAGGGTACCACAATTTGTCATCGGCTGTGGAAGGCTAGAGAGCTATAAAGAGAACACGATGGGGGCGCCTAGGTGGCTCAGTCAGTTAAGCGGCTGCCTTCGGCCCAGATCATGATCCCAGGGTCCTGGGATCGAGTCCCACATCGGGCTCCTTGCTCAGCAGGGAGCCCGCTTCTCCCTCTCTCTCCCTCTGCTTGTGCTCTCTCTGTCAAATAAATAAAATCTTTAAAAAAAAGAAAAAGAAAAAAGAGAACACGACGATTTGTAAAGCTTAGGTGTTTGGTGGTATCACTAACAGAAATTAGGAAGTCAGGAGGAGAAACTGGTTTGGGGGAAAGGAATGGCTTTGGTTTTAAGTACATCATGTGTGAGGTGAGTGGGAAATCAGGTAGCAACGGTCACAGGGCCACTGGAAATGCTGATCTGAAGTTCAGAGGGTAAGTCAGACCTGAAGACAGAGAAGTGGAAGATATCTGCCAAGAGAGATGGAGGGGCTCACCAGAAGCACGGGCTGAGATGAGAGCCTAGAGGACTTCCCTCGACTGTGGAGCAAGATGGGGAAGAGAAGCCAGTGCTATAGAGACTCAGAGGGAGAATCAGGAGAGCACGGTGACCATTAGCCAAGCTGGGGAGTTTCAAGAAGCAGTGAAGGGATCAACCCAATGAGAAAAAGGGCCAGGAACAATAATAATAGTAGCAATATATATTGTCTTCTTTAATCTTCACACACCACAACCTATCGGGTAGGTGGTACTATTCTCCCCATTGGACAGAAAAGGGTATTAACCAAGACAGTGACTCCTAAGCTGCAGGACGTAATTGCTGAGCTATCCTCCTACACAACTGTCAGGGAACGTGCTGGGAGATCTGACACTAGCTCTACCATTCCATTAGCTCTATGTCCACGGACTTTACCTTTACCTTTCTAGGCTTCATTTCCTTCTCTGCAAATTGAGGGGACTGGTCTAGATCATCTCTAGCTCTTATGTCATATGAATCTTTGATTAAGGTAGAATGGAAGAGATACATACACAAGAGAGGCAATGAATTAAAAATTTAGCAATAAGTGAACAGGGAGACCTGGCCAAGAAAATCAGAATGCTGAATGTTTTATACAGTAACTGTTCAAGCAATAAATCCATACTCTGATATGTAAAATCTTTAACTGCAAAACTCTACTTTCTATCTATATATTTAAGTTATATATAATATCAAGAATTAAAATGGCTCATACCTGAAAATTTACGAACGCTGCTCTTGAAACCCTGCTAAGTCAATTGAGTGGAGTAAAAAAGGGAAGATTCCAAGTCAAACACACTCTGTATATGAAGGATTGTCCTGTAGAGAGAGCAAATAGCTATTTATAATGTACTTTTGTAATGAGAGACAGAAACATCTGCTAAGGTACTTAATAGCTACTTATTTAAATAAACCACACGGCAGCACTAATCAGGTATCACTTTTTAGCAGGCAAAAATAGATAATCGGCACAGATGATGAATTAACAGAAATAAATAGATTTGCTTATTTTTAACTGAAACCTTAATATGGAAATCTGCAAGAAGTGATTTCTGGTATTAAAATGGATTACGGCAAATTGTAAGCAGACATACTTTTTAACTTTGACGATAAAATAAACTTAAGACAACAGCTGTTCAAAGGCAAACCAGCAGATGAGGTACCACAAAAGCAACACGTCTTATCACCCTTTTCTCGCAAGTCACATTAATATGATTTGCAAGAAAACCAAACAGAAGAACTTGCAAGATTCAACTTGAAAAATTCAGTATTTCTTAAAAACTGCATGGTTGCAGGAAGAGGGGGGGAAAAATCCTTCCACATATGTTCAGAAAGCCCTACTGTAGTCACCCAGATCTTTTTTTTTTTTTAAAGAATTTTATTTATTTATTTGAGAGAGAGAATGAGAGAGAGCATGAGAGGGAAGAGGGTCAGAGGGAGAAGCAGACTCCCCGCTGAGCAGGGAGCCCGATACGGGACTCGATCCAGGGACTCCAGGATCATGACCTGAGCCGAAGGCAGTCGCTTAACCAACTGAGCCACCCAGGCGCCCCTCGCCCAGATCTTTTATAACCTATTCAATTTGCCAGATTGTACCAGAGTGTGCCACAATTCGTAATACCAGCTGTAACAACTCATTAACAATTTTTCAGTTTTTACTCTATTCCAAAACTTTTTAATTGCCAAAAAAAAAAAAAAATCCGTTTGACTATTTTCTTCATTGACCATGAAGTTTTATTAATCAAAAAGAGTGTGAGGCTTTATGTCCACAGGCGGTGGGAAATGAATTTGATGCCTTTTAAACCAATCAATTAAGCTAAGAAGTCTCACCAAAAATTTCTTGGCTAACGTAATGGAATCACTTTTTAAGATAATATGTATTTTTTTTTCTGATTATAAAAGTATTATATACTTACAGAAAATTTAGAAAATACAGGCAAGGAGAAAGAAGAAAACAAACAAATAATTTTTAAATGAGTATCCTGAAAACACCACCAGAGAAAGGAGAGCTGTTCAAATATATTTAAACTAGTAAAATGATTGGATCAACTACCCACTCGTGAGGAGGTCTGGATTCTGGCAACTTAAACTATTCAAAACATTGCTGCCTAGAGGCTTACAAAAATTTTTGAGCAGAAAACTGTAATTGGGGGAATAAAATTAATAATTTTTGAAATTTTTATTTGTCTCAGAGAGAAAGCACAAGCAGGGGGAGCAGCAGAGGGAGAGGGAGAAGCAGGCTCCCCGCTGAGCAGGGAGCCCGATGTGGGACTCGATCCCAGGACCCTGGGATCATGACCTGAGCCGAAGGCAGACGCTTAACCGACTGAGCCACCCAGGCATCCCAAAAATTAATAATTTTTGAGAACAACTCCTTGTGACACTAAAAGCTCATCTATCACCTAGCCCCAGTGAGCTAGGCGGGCACTCAGGAAAGGGTACTTACTCTGAGAGCTTTAGCCTTACTACTTCAACAACGGTACTTAGCAGCACACTAACTAGTACTGGGGTCCGCATAGTGGCAGGCAAACTTTCTGTGGCTTTTTTAGAACACTGATTTCTGAACATAGTCTGTGCCCCAAGTAGTTTTTACATACTGTTGACATGTCATTTTTAGGGATAACCACCGCCTTCTACCCTAGCAGATATTTTTAAAAAACAAAAATTTTTAAAGTAGGCTCCGCACCCAACCCGGGGCTTGAACTCGCCCCCCTGAGATCAAGAGTCGCATGCTCGCTGTACTGACTGAGCCAGCCAGGCACCCCTACCCTAGCAGATGGTAGTTGGTGTATTAACCTTCAGCATCCTTTCTAAATTTCTTTTGGAAAATTTAAAAATACATTTCCCAGACTCCTTTACGGTTAAGTTTCCCCGTGTGAAATAGGGTCCATCCATCAGATGTTCTTCTGTGAGATTTGAGAGACCGAAAGGAGGCGGGGACCATCTTTCTGCTGCTTAGGCATTAATGCTGGCCAGTACATTTATGGAAACACTGGATTTTCCTGTAGCAGCCTTTCAGGGTCCAGAGCTTCATGGCTGTTCAGAGACAAGTGTGGTGGAGACAACCATCCCCAGTTGGTGGGTGTTGAGGGGCACTTTCGGGGAAGCAATTTCTTGACCCTTGAACTGCACTAGCGATGTCATCTGGAACACAGCCCTACCAGTGGTGGCCTCCTGATCCCCTCCCCTGGGGGCCCTGTTTGGCAGTCTGGTTCTGGGAATGATTTCTGCAGGCCCAGCCTGGAGCCCACTCCTCCTGGCCTTTCCAGTGATTTTGTAAGCACTCAATTCCCTTTAGTAAACGAATGAAAACACTAGAGTGGTGTCTTCTTCCTGCAAGCAGGCCCAGATGACATATTAATACACCAGCTGCCTCAAAATTTAAGCAGATGGGTGAGTAGTCTGTCTGTGAGCAACAGGACTGGTCAGTGTGTGTGGGGGGGGTACAGGCTCTGGAATCACACTGTCCAGGTGCAAATTCTGGCTCTGCCACACGCTAACTAGGTAACACGGGAAGTTAACCTAGAGCCTCAGTTTCTCCATCTGTAAAATGGAGTAACAGAAATACCTTCTAGAACTACAAGACAGGGTTAAGGAGAAAATCATTTAAGTAAAGTGCTTACAACACTGCCTGGCTTATAACAAGCTCTTGATAGATGTTAGTTATTATTATGGTAATCACTATTATTAATTACACAGACCACTTTAAAACACTTCTTTAACTGAGTAGAAAACGCAAACATTTTATAATTTTACTACCACACATATTCTTGTAGGCTGTAAAATGCTAACTTATACAAAGGTGGACGCAGAAGAAAATGTGACCGGGTCCATCATATTCGTGTGCTGAGAGAGAGTGATCTTTTCAAAACCACAGTGTACGTGAAGATTGCAAAGCTCCATTCTAGCTGGCCAACTAGTTAAGGTTACTCTAACTAGCTACTGTAGACCTCACCCTAAGGAAGAGTTTTTCTGTAGAAACAATTGTTGCCATATTCCCATTTCAAACACTACCTCATTAATTATGCTCTAGGAACCAGGGTGTTTGCTATTCAGATTTTTTTTTTCAGCTTCATTAAGATATAATTGACAAAACAGTAAGATGTACATCATGATGATCTGACATACATATATACTATGAAACGAGTCCCTCCCTCTAATTAATACATCTGTCACCTCACTCACATATTTATCGTTGGTTTTTGGGTTTGGTGTGGTTTTTTGTTGTTTGTTTGTTTGTTTTTGTAAGAACATTTAAGTTCTACTCTCTTAGAAAATTTCAAGTATACAGTACAGTGTTATCAACTATAGTCACCATGTTATACATTAGATCCTCAGACTTCATTCACTTTATAGCTAAAAGTTCATGCCCTTTTACCAACCTCTCCCTATTTCCTCCACCCTCCAGCCCCTCACAACCACTTTTCTAGTTGGTTTCTATGAGTTTCACTTGGTTTTTGAGATTCCACATATAAGTGATAACCTGGTATTATCTATCTGTCTTTCTCTATCTGGCTTATTTGACTTAGCATGCCCTAGGGTCCGTCTATGTTGTTGCAAATGACAGGATTTCTTTCTTCTTCATTGCTATAAATATCTACATCTCTTTCACATCTTCTTTACCCATATCCATCCCTCAACAGACACATAGGCTGTTCTGTTACTCAGATGTTTTTCAATGTTATCACAGGGGAGCCTGGGTGGCTCAGTTGGTTAAGCTTCTGACTCTTGGTTTCAGCTCATGTCATGATCTCAGGGTCCTGAGATGGATCCCCATGTTGGGCTCTGTGCTCAGCAGGGAGTCTGCTTGGGATTCGCTCTCTCTCTCTCTCTCCCTCTCCCCCCTCCCCCTCCTATTCGTGCATGAGCTCTCTCTCTCTCAAATAAATAAATAAATCTTTTAAAAAAATATAATGTTATCACAGAGGAGATTTCATGAGAATAGGATCTGTATTCTCCATAAGATTTGCAATCTGAAAGTTAAAATTTTAGGGGCACCTGGGTGGCTCAGTCGTTAAGCGTCTGCCTTCGGCTCGGGTCATGATCCCAGGGTCCTGGGATTGAGCCCCGTGGCGGGCTCTCTGCTCAGCGGGAAGCCTGCTTCTCCCTCTCCCACTCCCCCTACTTATGTTCCCTCTCTCGCTGTGTTTCTGTCAAATAAATAAATAAAATCTTAAAAAAAAAAAAGTCAAAATTTTAGTGTTTAGGCTTAGGATACTATTCTAATGTACATCTTAAGAAGGTCTTAGATAAAATTATGGCCTTGTTTGGTTTGCGGGTATCTTCTGATGACGGAAAATACATTGTAGATTTTGAAATAAAACTTCCCCCAAATATTCTGAAACCGTAAGAACCTTATATTGCACCTTATCCAACAGAACCAGTGAGACCGAGGGAACTGAAGTGGATACAAAGGTGTTTGGCGTACCCTCGATGGCTCAGATGCTGAGAGCCAAGCACTCAACAGCAATGGAGGCTTTCTGAAGGGTTAGAAAAACAATGGGGGGGCGCCTGGGTGGCTCAGTCGTTAAGCGTCTGCCTTCGGCTCAGGTCATGATCCCAGGGTCCTGGGATCGAGTCCCACATCCGGCTCCTTGCTCTGTGGGAAGCCTGCTTCTCCCTCTCCCACTCCCCCTGCCTGTGTTCCCTCTCTGGCTGTCTCTCTCTCTGTCAAATAAATAAATAAAATCTTAAAAAAGAAAACAAAAGAAAAGAAAAAAACAATGGAAAGAGAGCAACTTCAACCTTTGATTCAATGATTACTTTTACACTGTTCTGAATGCCATATAGCTACATATGTTGCGTTTTCCTATCTTTTT